TGTGTGTGTGTGTGTGTGTGTGTGTGTGTGTGTGTATAAGACTGGGCTGTGAGGAGAGAGAGGGAGAGTCCGTCCATCTGTGTGTGTGATGTGACGCTGGCTCCAGCTCAGTACTTCGGCACTTTGCTGTAATCTTCCCGGCCAACGTTCTTGCAGAGACACATGGAGAGGATCATCCCGAGGAGCTGGAGGAAAGAGGAGTTGTCAGCTTAGATATTGCATTTGAAACTGATGAGCAGAGTGTGCACTCAAACATGCAGGTGATAAAACCAAAGAATTTCTGTGTATTTGCAACAGGCTACAATTACTGAACCACAGGCTTGGTTTTTTCTCCAAGTCTGTCTTGAAACAATATTCACATACTTTAGTTATGTCCACTGCAGAGCTTCAACCGCACATGTCCATTTACGCTGGCATGAGAAACATGTTTCCCCAAATTCTGCTTTAATGTAATGTGCCCTTAACCCTCAGCTTAGCTTCAAAAAAGGGTATTTTTTGGAAATATTTTACACTGTCTTTTAATTTTACATTTTTTAGTCTGCTGTTCGCTTTATCTTCTTTTTAACATTTTGCATTGTGTCAGCACTTTGTGATTCCTGTCTGTGAGACGTTTTGGAAACACTACATATCCAGTCTTAGTTTGAAAACAACAGCACCGTGTTTTAGTCCAAAAAGGCAGAAACTGAGACTACTGGAAACATTATTATATAGAAAAAGCAGGGATAGATACTACATAAATAAAGAGCCAGATTCTAATTTTACCTTCAATTTTACTGCAAATTCTAAAGGTTCACACACTCTCCTCCACCTACATTTATATATTATTCAAAAAAGGTAAGCTATATAAATACGTTTTTGCTTCATTTGTTTAACTTGGTTTTCCTAAAACTTTGGAAGTTTTGTTTTCTAAAGGCTTCTTCACTTTCCTTTTAGTGCCTCTGACATTCAGTTAAAGAGGAAGGAGAAGCTTTTCTTTTTAACCAAACTAGATTCTGCCTACAAGAGTTATGTACAGATGCTGGCCAGCTGTTTCACTCTGCTTCCAGCTAAGCTAACTGGCTGAAGCCAGAGGTATGGTAATGAAGACCAAACTTTTAAAGGAACAGTACATGTGGCACCTGGGTGTAGGATTAAGCTGCTGTTGTCGGTGTAGTTACACATTCACCTAACAAAACAAGCAAAAGATCCATAAAGGAAAGACCTTGGGAGAAGGCACAGATCTTTTTGGGGTTATGCCACAAAAGTCTTCGACTTGAACTCAAACCCACTTTGGTGACCTTTTGTGAATGAGGAAGGAGTTAAAAGTAGCCTATAGCAGCATATATGGAGGATTATAAAGTCTATCTACTACGATAATCTAAAAACATATGTTTGCTTTCTGCCATCGTTGTGATGAACGAACATAATTTAATGCATTTATTTTATTTATCTTGTGTCTGCCTGACCTAACTTGAAACTGTATACCAGCTACGATCCAAGCAAATGCAGACAAGGTGCAGTTAAAAACAAATATACTGGCAGCCTTAAGGCACTCTTGATAAAAATCAGAACAGGAAGAGGCGGATACTGTACCTCCACGACTGCCACGGCAGCACAGATCCCCAGAATAACTCCCAAGTTATCCTTTAGCCATGTTTCTATGGTGGTTTTACAGCCCTACAGGAGAGAACAAGAGAAGGGGGGGGGCATGCAGAGAGATGAATGATTACAGGATCACAGCCGGACATGAACTGAGCCTTTTGAAAGCACAACTGTTAGCTCTGGGTTGAGCCTGTGAGGGGAAGAATAACAGGTTTAGCTTAGCCGAGGAAGGGAGCGACTGGGGAGTGTAAAGTTTCTCAAACAGGCAGACCAAACAACAGAACGGTGGAGCTGTACTGCTGTTTGGATAAATCAGGGCAGTATGAACAATTCGCCTCGGCTGTCACCGATCACGGCGCTGATTGAGTTTAACCACAGTCGCACACTGAGCTGCCAGTCTTAGTCAAACAGTTATGTAAAGATTAAAGGTGTGACGTCTGTGTCATCTCCCTAATCATGGCCTGGACTTAAAAACAAAACAAAACAAAAATCCAAACTGGTGGGTTTTCATTTTGAAACGTGTAACTTTTGCTATGTTTATGTCTACTGTCCATTCTGCTCCACAGTTTTAGGACCCTTAAAACAGAGTTGTGTTTTAAGATCTCCACCCAGTCTTAGTCTGAAAGCTTCAGCAATCTGTTTGGTAAGACTACTGGAAAATTCAACTCCGACATCTACTTTATCTTAATGCTGATTGGGCCTTATCAGATACAAACATTAAATGTTAAAAATCTTTAGATTCCCTAAAACAAAGAATCATAAATTAAAAATCATTCCTATGCTTACGTGCAGCTGCAAAGTACTTCAAATAAGTCTATACTTCTTGTAGTACACATCCAATCAGTAAGTAAGATACTTTTTAAATGCAGTGATAATAATGTAGTAAAAATCCGATGACAGCAGATCATCTGCCTCCATTTCATCCCATCCCTAACATTCGCCTAAGTCACAGCAACCGTCTACACGTCCTCCTTCACTACATCCATGAATCTTCTTTGTGGCCTTCTTCTTTTCCTTTGTCCAGTGTATCCACTAACCCTCCTCTGCACATGTCCAAACCATCTCAGCCCTGCCTCTCTAACGTAGAAAGGCTGAATCAAACATGCAGATCATCAATTCCTTTTTTGTTTTTAATACTGTGATATTATTAATTTTACTACAATATTTTGGGGCTGTCCCACTGCCCGGAGAAAACATTAAAGAAAATACCAAAAATAATAATAATAATAATAATAATAATGATAATAATAACTTGTATAAGCAGCAATATCATGGTATGGAAATAAAACAATTTCAGTCTTGGTTGTATAATTTAACAGTTGCTCGCCTAATTTTCAACTCTTAGCGCACAGACAGGAGGCTGCAGACTTTACATTGTGTTATTTACCGTTTCATAAACAGGTGGATCCGAGGACAAGGTTGAACACAGGCCTGCTAGCACCTTTTCCACTCCAGGCAAGGAATCATTACGACAGGAGCAGGAATACTGCACCTGGGTGCTGTTCTTGATCACAGGGTTCTCAGACCAGTTGCCCGGCCCAGTAAAACCACAGCATTTCATCTGGTAATATGGGAGAAAGCAAGGATGTGAGACAAATTAGAAACACAAAAACCCCCACAGAGGATGGATTGAAAAGGTTTTGCTGCATTTTATTTCTTTAAAAGAGACAAAAATGAATTGGAAATGAAACTGGATCCAAAATTAGCAAATCCCTTGGCTCTGTGAATGAGTACTTGTATTATGATATTTGAGAACAATATATTCTTGGCTGCTGCTTTCAGAAAGACCAGGAGGAAAGAGGCTTGGCAAGAAAGAGGGAAAGGTGGAAGAAGAGAGGGAAGAAACTGGGTACAGGCTGATTAGTTTAATGAGTTAGTTCATCCAAAGTGCAAAGCATATGTATATTTTCACGTATCCCTCAGATCAGTTTTATTTGCAGAGTTCTGAAAAGGCTGTCTCCAGAAAACGGTGGATGTAATGGAACTTAGGCAGCCCATCGTATTGGATGAAAGTTAAGTTAGACGAAGGCTGCAGGTTACAGACCTACAACTATTCAGCACAATTAGTCTCTCCTGATGTATGGAAAGCTGCAATCACACTGTTAGCTGCTTGCATGATAATTGTTGATTGACTGAGTTACGCATTAAAAAAGATAGAAAAGCTGCTTATAATGTATTGTAATGTGATTCTTGAAGAATTATTTAGAGTAATCACGCCTGCCACCAAAACAATCCAAACTGAAATCTAAACAAATGGCTGATTACGTTTACTTTGTGTGATTTGAAATAACTTCCACCGTGGAAAAACAAATGGGTTTTTTACAGGGGGGGGGGGGTCGACAAGGCGTGGAAACACACTGAAGCGTCAACTCACCGTCCTCTGAATGTAGTCCAAGGGGTGTTCTGTGGTCCTGTTATTGGGGTAGGTGATGATCACAGTCTTAATAATGCTGTCCATCTCATATGCCAACTGGAATTGAATACGAGTATATTATTATCAGTGTCTAAGAATCAGAAAACACACCATGGCTGTACGTAAATAAAAGTGCTTTTTATTTTAGGCATTAAAAAAAGGTTGAACGCCAGCCAGAGAGGGTAAGTGAAACAGTGGTGATGAAGGAAAACAAATAAACAAGCAACAAACCCCCCAGAAATCCCACAGATGATCATTCTTTTCCAAATTTTAAATTTATGTTTCTTCGAGCACCGCCGCAGTCGTCTCTTGCTGGGCTCAAACATTGTTCAAATACAGCTTAGCAAGAGAACGACTCCGTGTTTATGTGTGTACGACCACAGAGCGGTTGTAGAGATGCAGCTTCTGAGGCTCTACAGCGAGAGCCTCACCCTATTCTGGGAATGGGCACCACCCTGCCCTGTGGTGAGCCTTAAACACAGGGAGGGTGTCTTGGGCTACAGATACGCAGATACACATGTACGTACACATACATGCATATAAATGCTGGAGGGCTGAAACAGCCACCACCTATCCTGAGCGCAGTGGTGAGGTTTATCAAGGGAAAGGCTTTTTATGTCTTGGAAAAGAAAGGCCATGTTTAGAGAACAAAACCGGTTTTAGATGTTTATGTGCTCCAACTTAACACTCCCTTTAGAACAACACAAAGGTGGTGCTATTACTGGTTTGACCTGTATAAGAAAAGTTTTAAGGGGGGAAAACATTAAAACATCAGGAGTTCAGAAAAACACATTTACAGTTACGCAACAGCTTTTTAAAATTTAATCCAATACGTTTTGAAAATCTTAAGCTTGGTGTTGTTTGTCATGGTTTTTATTTTAGCCAGCTTGCTTTCTAATTCAAACCCCCCCTGCCAAGCTAATAACATCTATCAAAGGATTAAACTTTGCCACAGTTTGGTTGTTGTTGTTTAAAAAATTAAAAAAAAAAAAAAAAAGAGCAGAAATGGGTGACATGACACTTAATACGATGACAATTTCTGCCTCTGGGGTGTAAAGTACTAAAGTATAGAAGATGAAGACAGACTTATTTCATATGATTAAAGCTTTAAAAACATCATTTAATGTGATTCTCCAGCACACTCGCTCCACCTCACTAATATGATGACGAAAGCCTTCGATTACAGCAACCCACAAACTACTTCCGGTACTGTTATTATATATCTCCTGTCCTCCTTCTTTATCTCACTTTTCACAATCCAATCACATGACACAAAGTCACATACTGAAACTTTCCATTTGTTGAACTTTGGATTACAGGTTAAGGTACACACAGCCAGCGAAAGCTGTGAAGGGGAAACAAGTACCCAGTGGGGCCAAACTGTACTAGTGGGTGGAGGAGTAGTGGGTGGTAGAATGCACGAGAAGCGGGGGCAACAGGTTAAATTGGGAAATATGGTAAAAATAAAAAAGGAAACAAATATAACACAAAAAAGAAAGAAGATGTGAAATTAAAAATATAAGGGAAGAGAGTAAAGCAGGATAAACTAAACTAGCTTCTTACCCGATCTCTCTGGAAATAAATGAGAACTCCAGCAGTGATCTGGGCAACGAGGATGAGGAGGAGGCAGGTGAAGTACTGTGAGGGGACACAGACGTATGTCAGTTTTACATAACCACTGATAAGAGATGAAAAACACTGATGCAAATCTTAAAGCAGATAAAAGAATTCTTTTTTAACAGGAGTGAATGAAGTAAGAAAGCTTGTATTGGTGAACATATATCTATAGTTCCCATCAGCTTTGCAGTTTCACAGCAAGTTTCAGGTAATTATAGGCTGTTGGTTTAGTTTAGGTTTTTTATTTAGTAGCAGCAGGAAGACTTTCAACAAGCTGATAGATAGAAAATAGATTATTAAGTCATGAATATCATGAAGCTCGGTTATTTTTGGGCAGCCAAAACACCAAAACAAGTGTTGACACTTTTTCTGAATGAAAGAAAAACCCTCTAAAAACAGATTCAGAAGAATTTAATGAGGACAATCTCACGTTAAAGCTTATCTTCTCAGACATGTCTGCTTTGGTCCCGACAAGTTCCAGCATGAATACTGTTTTTAGATCTTATTCCGTGCTCTATGATTTAACCACAGACCTCAAACTTGCACAGTGGTCAAACTTTAACTTGTCTTTTCAAATCAACCTGAAGTTTGTGTCAGACTCCACAGTTTCCAAGCCCTAAGGCAAGTGTGTGGGGAGAGGTGCGAGACCGGGGGCATACTAGTCACTTTAGTTTCCAACATGGTGCACAGTGAATTCATTCCCCGCGGTGAAACTGTCAACGTGGAGCTCTATTCGAACTTTCTGGGGCTTCTGAAGAAGAACATTCAGCAGAAGTGATGTGAATTATGGTGCATGTCAGCCAGCCATCTCCTGTCAGCTCAGAGCACAGTCAAAACGCAGGAGTTTCTGGACCGCTCACCAGTTTTGCTTCCCTATATTTTCATCCTTTTTACGAAAATGACAATCAAGTTGCAGGTCCGCCGTTATGACACACAGGAGGACATCCAATGAATATTGCAGAAGCATAAAAGTAAAGAGTCATAACAGGACTTCGACTAAGATAGCAGCCGTGCTGAAAACAGTGCAGGAGACGACTGTGAGATCAGCCAACGGTAAAGCTTTTAATGTTTATAATCCTGTTCTCTTAACTTTTTTTTATTGCATTTCACCCTCACACAGTTAATGTACTGAATAGATAGAAAGTAAACAAATTATCAACTCTAATAAATGGAAATTTATTCACATGTAACAAATAGAAACAAAACAGAATAAGAGAAAAACACTTTCTGGGCAGACACATCCAGCTTTTCCAGGCTTCCCTCAGTGTGTGTGTGTGTGTGTGTGTGTGTGTGTGTGTGTGTGTGTGCGTGTGTGTGTGTGAGTGTGAGTGTGTGAGAGAGAGACAGAGATAGAGGCTCTACTGCCAGCTGGTCACTGTCACTGGAAGAAGTAGGTCACAGCAGTTATTCAGTTAACCCCTTGCAGGTTTAACGCTGTAGGTCACGCACCCATCCCCACTCTTGTTGTATCCCCTACATTTTACTGGCTTTATCCCCCCCCCACCCCACCACCTGTAAATCCACACATGCTGTGATAGCCTGGCAGCACACATTTAGCAAAAATGCTGAAGGGTTTTAATGTCAGCAGGAATATATCACATGTTCTTAGCCTTGAGAGCTCAAGCAGGTAGGTGAATGTTTCATTAAATAAAATTAAGCTTCTGTGTGTTTAAAACGATAAGAGAATAAATATAAATAAGTAGGAAACAATACTTCGAACAGTATTTACTGTTTTAATTATGCACTCGATTGCAGATAGAGGCAAAAGAGATTAAAAAGAGTTTAAAGTCAGTGTAGCTTCTCACCAGACCCAGAAGACAACGGACTTCGTAGATGGATCCAATGCAGCCGAAGAAGCCCATGGCCATCGTCAGGGAACCCACTCCGATGAGGATGTATGAGGCTACTTTCACAGTATCTGATGATTCCTCTGGAGAAGATGGAAACAGGCAGGGGCACACGGAAAGAGATCAACATATAGAATTACTGAAATCTAAAAGGGTGGCACAAACATGATTTTTATGGTGACAGGCGCCTGACTTCTGTTCTTTTTCTGCACTAACTGTAATACAAATGCAACTGTGTCTAGCAGGCCAAGTGAGACCGACTTTTGCACCACATACGTGGGGGCCTTTTTACTTCTGCAAACCTATTTTTACACACACAGGTTACGGTTAGCCAAACCTCGTTCACCGAGCAAATTTTCTATGTTGAAATCATGCAAGCTTTTGTGTGAGAACACATTCTTTTCTCACACAAAAGGTTTTTCTATCAGAGTAGACTGAGACAAGTCAGTGTGTGGCGAGATAAATTGATTTCCCTTTCTGGTATGTAGAGTGGGAGGGATTCTGCAGGAGGAGGGGGCCGGCACTGGGAAGGTTGGAGAGGAGATAAATTGGAGCCATTATGTGACTCTGTGTGTTATCTGCTTTGGAAGAGCTCCAAAGACTTCAAGCTCAATCCACGGATGAGCTCTGTCAAATGGCTCCATCTTATCAAGGATTCCTGAGCCAAGCAAACAAAACAGCAAATCAGATAACTCACTCGCGACAGTTTGGTAAAAGAGCTGACAGACAGAAAGGCTCCGACACCTCACCTCTAATATCTGTGAATATATTTCTGTGTTGCTTTTCTTTATATGTGCTCTGTCAGATGCACAGTCAATATTAATATCTCTGAAGAGTTTTAAAATCAAGCTGAACTTTATTACTATACATTATGACTGCAAAGAAGGAACATTAGCTCTTCTTGAACTAGCACCATGCTACTTTGAAAACCTCCATGATACACTTTATCATCTGCACTTATCGGAACAGGATGCATCATTAAGCAAAGATAAATAGAAAATCTTTATGGCTGCAGCACATTTTCGTATCCTGTCTTAACTATAAATAATATTTTATACCTCACGCAACTTGTCAGAACACTAAATGGAAGCCTTTACAGCATTTACAGTAATTTCTTGTTAGTACTGAAACACCTTTAAATACGTGATATAAACTTACCAAAACTATGAACAAGATGTGACTGAATGCATGTACACTGCTGATTCGACATGAGCTACCATAACAGTGCATGCTGTGGTGGTTTAAGAATAATTTCTGAAAGTGATGAGGTCACCATGTATCGAGTGTTTATGAGGTAACATTAAAAGGGAGGCAGACAACCATGTTGTATGTTCTATATCCGGTATTCAGCTGAGGCATGTTATTTCTGTCTTTCTCATAACCGCACGCCCACCCCTCCCCTCACACACACGCAACCAACTAGTAGCTGCAAAAGCAACAGATGTCCACGGGTTTCAGTAATTAACCTGAGGGATTTAGGGGACATGCATGAAAGTATACAGTAGGTACAGTTAGGAGCCGGAGCGAGAACTTTTAGCAACACTGAATATATTAATGCATGTAAGAGATTTCTAAGGTTCTAGTTAGAGGTGCAACAAATCAACATTTACATAGTCCGATGAGAGAGAAAAGCAAAGAAAAAGTTATAAGACACAGCAAGATATGTGCCGACATTTTGCTTCCTATATTGTCATCATTACATTTGTTAGTGTAATTCAACGCACTGAAGTAGAGGTTCACTTGAAGAGTATGCAGCTACAGTGGACTGCAAACATGTATTTTCCATGTAGATGGTAAACCGGTGTGCTATGATTATTAACTACAGAGTTTAAATTAGATGTTGTGTGTGGTTTTCATGCAGCCCGGTGTTTACGCAAACTAAAAACATACACCCAGAAGTTTGAGGAACTGCAGTGCAACTCTAATGCAATAACATGGGTATTTGTAAGGAGCAACATTTTAGTTCACAAACAGAATTATACAATCATGTAGACATCCCAGCTTCTGTATGAAAAATGTCACCAAACAGAATTAAAGCTGTAGATTTTAATTAGCCTGCATAGTATAAAATGCAGGCTAATTTCAGTTAACGGAAATGTTTCAACACACTTAGTTTTAGATTGTTAACATAACTCACTACAAAAACCTTAGCAGCAGCTAACTGAAAAACACAATCGGGGGGTACTGAGTCTGCTTAGTTCTTCTTTCCATCTTTTCATCACACATTTAGAAAAAGGAAGCCTTTTTAAATAAAAAACAAAACAACAGTTTCCTTGTACTCCTAAGACCAGTTGCAGGTGTTTCAAAGGTTGCAGCAGCAGAACAGAAACTGTTCTTTACAAGCTTCCTGCATCTGTGTGCTTCTGGAGTAATACCAAAAACATAGCATCCTCCTGCAGTCAGCATGTATTAGCCTGGTTACTGTGCTATTCTGTCACCTACTCTGGTAAGTTTCTATGTAGGTCTCTGTTAGATATTCTAAAATAGTTACTTCAGTGGTTTCCATGGAACTTTCCATTTAAAGAAGGAAAACTCATGGTGCCCTTCAAGACGGCTGGCGAGGGAGAGCAGGAGTTAGGATTGTTTGGTGCTGCGGGTCCTTCTGTAAACATGACCGAAGCCACACACTGAGCTTCCATACAGATGGCGAAAAGTCATACGCACAGATTTAAAAATTAAACAGGCAGATCAAGTTTTTTTCCTTTACTTTGCTGAATTCTGAGTTGAAAGAGTCCAAAGAAAATCATTTTCCAGCATGTTCTCTTTTTCTCTCCCTGTGCCTCTGTAAAAGTTTCTGAATTAATATGAAGCACATTTCCAAACTGTGCTTTGGCGCGCTCTCCGTCTCACATACCTCTTCTCCCTGACTCCCAGGCTGACTTGTCTAAATAATATGCAAGCTGTATTTTAGCAAACGCCAGCAAGATAAACTGAAGGCATCATGTTACAGTAAACTATTAACATCAGTGCTCTGATATAGACGAGTATATAGTGAGGGGAAGATGTCTTTTTTAACTTAAAAAAAAGGGGGGGTAGGGGCGCCTGAAACCACAACATCCTCACAGTTTCCCTGCCTGAAGTCACTGGGACAGCTGCAAAGGCCTTTGCTAATATAACTCATAAAGAATGGAAACTAAAAACACAAAGATCCTGTTTATAGGCAGACCAGGCTTCTGAGGGGAACGCACAAGAGTCAATAAACAGAGCTGGCTGGAGCTTTTGTTCTTCTGCAGAGTGATAAGATATTTTCTGTGAGGTTAAACATCCAAGGCGGAGCAGAGTTTGACCAGTCCTTTGTATAGGGAACATAAATACAAGTAGGGGGGAGGTCATTAGACTCCTCCTAGCACGAATAAGGTATGAATGAATCATGCCATCTCTTGGGGAACAGCTGGATTATCACAACAATAGGCCTGAGGCTGAAAAGGATGATGCACACTCTACTGCCTTTATTTCCTGAAGGCCTAATTTGAGATAACCAAACTCAGCTGAACAACAACCTTGGACTCACTAAGTTTTAGGACATTAAAGGTCAATTCCAGAGATTGTTTTGATTAAACTCTAGTCTTTTCACAAACAATCGATCAAGATAGCAAAAAATGAAAAAATAACCCCAAACTTCCAACCAAAATATAGATGACTTCTGCTCTACTTGACCTAGAATTTTCTTAACTCATTATCAAAGAACTCAACTTTTATTTTTGATCATTCAGACTTCTATTTAGTCCATTAATCGTACTTGTTAAAAAATCACTGGAAAGTTCAACCGATGCCGTAAAACCAAACAATGCAAGGCGTCGAAACAATTAACAAAACAGTAATTAAGCTAATTTGACTGATTCAAACTGAGTCTGTCTAAGAGCAGTAAATCTCACAGCCCTTCTAGCCTGGCACAGTGAATCAGGTCACAACCACTCATCTGAGGTTGAGTTAAAGGGAACATTAGACCCTGCTTCGGCAAACACGACATATGCAGATCTCCTATAGGAAAGAGGTATCAGAGTCACGTAGAAGAAAGTGCTGCATCTGACTTCCAACATGTACCAAGTTGCCAGACAATAAAAAGAAGGAATTTCTCTTTACAAACTGAGAAAAAAACTTGACTGCTGCTCTTGGAAATGCTCCACTTGGGATGAATACACTGAAAGCATTTATAAAAGAGATTTATGGCAACTAAGAGTTTCCATCCGTGGTTCTCTGCTTTTTCAGGCGAATCTGGACATGGGCTTCATTATGCTTTCTCCAGTCTTCTTCACAGTAGTTGGAGACATTTCTATCTTTAAGAAAGCTGATAACTGCAATAATAACGTATTTCTTACTATGCAGTGTCTACAAGTAGATATGTGAGAACATCTGTACAAGTGGGAAATTTTATCTAGCACCTCTGCCATCTGTAGGACTAAGAAAACGGGCAAGTTCTAAGTGTGGAAAGTGGAGTACAACTGCCATTTTCCACCCTAAGATGAAACCTTTTAAGATGCCCTAGTAATCAAGAGCCCGTCATCCCCCCTGAGTAACCCACTTCTCACAGATGTGCCTGTCAGTGTGTGTCTGTATCTCTACAGGGTGCACAGGAAGTCATCAACGTTCATATGTGAGTCACATCTTTAGTAAGGTGTGAGCAGACCCTCGTGACTTTTTAGGAATGCGTCTCAGGGGATAAAATCTGCATTAGTTGTAGAGAGGAGGTACTTACGTAGAACAGCAATGAAGCTCTTGTTATCAAGCAGAACCCACAGTCCAAAGCCCAGGATAAGGGCTCCAAACACCTGTGGAGGTGACAGAGAAAAATCAGGCACAATATGTGCTCTAATGTCTTACACACGGTTTGTAGTTGGTTTGTTTTTTTCTTTTTTGCTTTCTTGGTCTGTCACATGTGGGATAAATCTGATTGCATCTTGTCCCTTGTGTTTCTGTCTGCCTTTCTCTTTCTCTCATAAGAACATTTGGAAAGAAACAGGATGTGGAGGCAGTCATTCCACAGGCTTTTCTCACAATTAACATCAGCATTCATAACAGAACTGGAAACTGGAACATAGTATAATTGGTTCCTTAAAGCCTCCAAAAATTATCAGATTTACTTTATATACCCTTGTAATGAGGCTATGAAGCTGAGACTATCAATGTAATTAAGTGGGGCCTTGTTTGGAAATTGTGGGGCACTGTAGAGGGGGCAAATTCTCAAATAAGAGGCTCTGTTGATTCCCCAGCTATCCACTTGTATCGTTGTCCCTCCCCAACCTCCCAGCAGTAATTAAAGCCTTCGTTAAGAGCCGTTCATTTAGAGAGACTCTTGTGCTCCCGGCTGCCATCATTAGCCCACCACTTCCTGGCTTCCCCTAACCTCCCCTAGACTAATCTGTCCACATGGACAAACACTGACACAGACACACACGCTTCCTATTAGACACCAGTGGCGCATTCACATCAAAAGGTCTGCATCAGGTTTACAGCCACAGACCCACTAGAAAGGTCTGGACATCCTCGCAGAGTCAGTTTTAGGAGTCTGGGGTTGTATGAACCTCTGGACTTTATGTTGTGACCAGCCCAAGCGACTAGGAAACAAACAAAAACCATCTGTTGTAATTTAGACCTGACCGAACTTCATATCTCCTATCACAGAGAGAGTCACAGCGACATTTCCCTGTGTATCTCTACCATCCCCTGGCAACATCTGACAGTTATTCAAATATAACCCTGAAAGACATCAGGCAACTCTAAGTGCGTCATAAGTGTAGGATGCAGCATACTCATCTGTCTAGCTTAGCTAAACAAAACTGCTGACAAGGTGAAAGTTGGTTTACTCTAACAGTGTGTGCAATGCATGTGCAGATACTTACAAAGAAGAGGAGGTTGAAGAGAAATAGAAAGTATTTGGTGACTGCAACGCATCCATTCCCCATGGCTGTGTTTCTGGGAGACAAAAGAGAATTTATTGGCTATTAACGTCAGAGAGTTATATCACAGTACAGCGTGGGCAAGAGATTAACAAAAAAGAGAGAGAGATCACCAACTGACTCAAGATGAAGAAAAGACACAACAAGGAAAGTTAGCTTTGAGTCAAGGACGTGGAGAAATCTGCACAGCTGGATTCCTGATTAAACACAGCTTCAAATCTTCAAAGCAGCGTTAGCCTAGTTCATTTTTAAACAGTCACATTTCTCCAGGCTTAAATAACTCAACCGACCAACTTATTCCCTCTTTTGTGCGACAACTGCTGCCCTGTTGTTGGAAAATATCGTGTTTTTGCAGTAACACTTGTTAACGAATGCAGTTGCGTTCTTGACAAACAAGAAGAACCACCCTGGTTGGAAAGAGCGGCAGGAGGACCACCACAAAGTGACGAGTGGTGAAGTCACGACGGCTATGTGGAGAGGATGACGGCTCGTGTGGTTACGTGTACTACTATCTCAAATCGAGAGAGACTAGGCCAATCTACCAACTGCTATAACACAACACGGAAACAACGAGTTTGGTTAGCAACAGTTTTTTTGCAGTGAATTTTATGAAGGAGCCTATATGGTATAAAACTACAACCAATAAACACACGACAGAACACTGCTGTGATCACACCCTCGAGGAAAGACTTTCACTGTCTGATATTCTTGGTTTTAGAATGGAATATCATCAGCTGCACTGTTTTACAGTAGTTTACCTCATGCTCACATACAGCCTGTTTGGGTTTCATACATACACAGAGTGCACTTGGTGACTTTTCTCCAAGTAATTTTTTCCCTTTAAATAAAAAAAAGAAAGAAAGAAAGAAAAAAGAAAAAAAGTAGGCCAGGCCAGCACCACACACTCAGTACACTTCATGAAGCCTCGCTGGTAACATGATTCAGCCTGAGCAGAACCAGTCCAACGACAATATTCACCACAGCTTTCTCATACTAAGGAAAAACTGGAAATATAACCAGCTATTGTGGTTATTTGAGGAGTCTGAAATACAACATGGAGGCACTTGTATATCTCATGACAAGCTCTCTCTTCCTGTGTCACTTATTTCATCTAAACCTTCTTCCAGTATCTGTAACAGGTAATTATGTATTTAGTTCTTTTTTCTTTTGCCTATGTTAACCAACAGTTCAAATTAACAACATGTATCTTGGAAATCCACTCAAATGACTTGCAAATGAAGACAATTTACTTTGCTGACATCTCTTAATCACATCTCGTTTCCTCTTTGCTTGATAAGAAGTCTGTCTACAGATTATGCATAAAGGAAGCTGCCGTGTTTTTCCAGACGGTGTGTATGTCAAAGAAGAGAACATGAAAATTAATTATAGCCTAAAGATAATAAGAAAAATAGGTTCTGCTCAACAATACTTGTTGTTAGTTAAACTTAGCCGGGTCAGATCTATGATACGTGTCACTGCCTCGCTCTCTCCTCCTCCCCCATTTCCTGTCTATCTCCTTCACTGTACAAATAAAGCCAAAAGCTACAAAACAGACAAAAACAGCAAAAAAACCCCAAACAAACCCCAAAGCTTCGATGCTGTTCAGTGTAGTTCAAACTGGTTTTACCATAAAATTTCATTTGAACTGCTGGTAACTATCACATGAGTGTGAGTTACTTAGACTACACAAACATAAACACAGACAAACAAATACTTCAGATTGCTTTCTGAAGAATACTTTCAGATTCAACATGCTTTCGTGCTTTTAAGTTGTTTGTCAGATACACAGTCTGTAGAGCAGCTCTATCAAAAGCCTTTCAATATTATTACTTATTAAATGTAGCATAAAAATACTGATAGAAATACCAACACAATTTCATATTTACAAAGCTACACACAATGCAAAGCCCAAACCACACAGCAGATACCCTTGCAAAGTAGATAATCCTTAAAGGAGATTGTTGGTCTTTATGTCTAGATGGTGAGCAGCAGCAGGGATTAAAAAAGGCTTAGTTATGACAACCATTGTTTGCTGACTGAGCCCCCAGTCCATCTGAAAACAGTTCCCAACAATGCCTCAATGCTACTTATTATATTTCTGAAACAACAAACATAAATAGGATAACGTGCTAGCCTAATTTATTACGAGGCAGTAACTGAGGTTATACTCTTTTGGGAGTATAGCTTTCATAGAAGCTCGCACACTGACAAGATCAAGTTGAAAATGCATTTAGCGAATTCTTTTTGCGTAGCTTACACAGTCAAAGCCAATCACAGTTAACTTCCTGGAAGCATGAGAAAATAAAGGCTCGGCAGTGGAATGGGAAGTGGAGCTAAACAGCCACCCAGGAGTGGCATTTTAACCATTCATTACAAGTAGAAAATATATATATGCTGCTGCTGATGTCAAAAGGCAGTTTACTAAGGTTATTTTTCATCTCTCCAATTTGAACTAAGTGAAGGCTCAGCTTGGTGTAAAAACAATGTGCAGGATAGAAAAAAAAATTCCCCTGAATAAAACCGCGACAGAATTACCTGAACTTTCCGGCCCCGTGATCTCACACATTTTTTCCCCCCTCTTTACAGCCTCCATCTCCCTACCTGAGGTTTGGCGTAAGGTGCGAACACCTACTAACAGTATTTTGGGTGCAATAAAAGGTTAAACGCGTTACGCTGAAATAAGTGTTTGTACAAAGGGTCAGTTCACAAGCATGGGTTACAGAGACGAGACAGCACGAATGGCAGATGGCAGCAACTGTGTCTGAAATGGACCCAGCATTGATCAGCTATGGTCGTGTTGAACACAAAAGGTCAGGCAGTGTGCCAAGCTCCCTCTACTACCTCCTCCTAACATATTTAATATGACCCACTTACGCATCTGTGAGGCCACAGTGTTGGAACGAATGCACCAGACACCATCCTGGTACTACTAAAGCTCTTAATATTGGGCCAGAATTCTGCTTTAACATTTGAAAAACTGTTGATCACCATGCACAAACAGGTTGTAGGTTGTTTACTTCTGCATTTCAGTGACAAAACAAAAGAAAACATCTTCAAAATGCATGCATTCCTAGAAACAGCCCCTGGAGTAAAATCCGCCTCTGCGGTCTGCTGGTGAGAGAATCAGGGCTGCTAGTATTGATAGCTTTCGTCAACATGTTATTTTTTATGTCTATGAAAGTTTTTAATTCGCCTGAGTCATGGGGTGTCGGTAATATAGACGATGTTTTATCAGTTCAGTTGCTTTATTAGTTGATAAACCTCAGTGGGTTTTCAGGGATGGAGGGGATTTCCCATTTTGCATGTAATGACAAGCTGTATGGCAAAAAAAATCAGTAAACTCCCCATCTGTGGTTGGGTGCCTGGTACCAACCCACGTAAATGAAAATGATGACACATCTGTGGCAACAAGACTAAACACAGATTTGGTCTACAGTCACTATATCATGTAATTGACAACATTTTTATCCACCCATCCAACCATATCCATTCCCATCATTGCCAATAAATCAGAGAGAGAGATTTGCTCCCGTTTCTCGGTTTCTAAGAACAGCCAAGGGGTTGAGGTTATCAGGTGTGTGATCACAGAATTACGTCTTTGTTTTCTGGGGTGGGGTTCTACTGTTTCTGGTTTTCTATTCAAAGCTGAGTGTGAAATGGTGTGGGTGAGATGTGCACCTCTAATTGTGATGTCATGGTTTTTGGCCGGAAAAGTGGTCAAATCCCTGCTCCGGTTTGAAAATAAACTCCTCTACTTGAGGTAGCAACTTTTAAGTATTTCAGAGAGTTTTTTTTTT